CTTGTTTGTCTGTGAAACAGCACAACCAGGTGGTGGTTGCCCAGGCCATCTGAAGCACGCAACTTTCATATTTCTCTTCTTACGGTGTCTTGTTACGGTATTGAGCTAGTTACAGTGAATTCGGTGTAGAACCATGTCTCCCCAGATTTGTAACAAATTCCACAGAAACATGTTAGTTTGTCCTGGGCAGCCTCACCCTGGTGAAATAGCTGACTGGACTACCCGACTGGAAACTTCTGAACGTGACTCCTCTCCCTACAGTACCGACCACTCTCAGCTGACTCCACCAATACTTCATTGCCATGAAAGAGGTCCGTATTTTTGTTGTATCATATTGTTATACTCGGTACGCGAGATATTCGTTCAGGCAATGAAGTATTGGTGGAGTCAGCTGAGAGTGGTCGGTACTGTTGGGACTGGAGTCACGTTCAGAAGTTCCCAGTCGGGTAGTCCAATCAGCTATTTCACCAGGGTGAGGCTGCTCAGGACAAACTAACATGTTTCTGTGGAATTTGTTACAAATCTGGGGACGCATAGTTCTACCCCGAATTATTTGTAACTAGCTTAATACCGTAACAAGACACCGTAAGAAGAGAAATATGAAAGTTGCGTGCTTCAGATGGCCTGGGCAACCACCGCAAAGATTGGATGTGCTGTTACACAGAAAAACAAGTGCCCCAATTCTTATTACATTGCGTGCCACTACCAGACTGGGTACTATTCTTCGTTCTTCCTTAGTCCATCCTATATGATATCTCAAATGAGCATTTTCAGAGGTAATGTACCCGATGCTAAGATCTACACTCCAGGCAATGCATGCTCTCAGTGTCCCGGTGGCTATCGCTGTGACTCAAACAAGCTCTGCGCTCGCTCTTAGACGATTATCTAACACTTCAACTCAATAAACGCCTTCTCACGTCTCTTCTTTCACATGTGGACTTAACACTATCCCATACTGTGATGAACAAGAAGCTTACACACGTGTATTGAAGCAAGGCATTTTCATGAAAGAGTTTTAAGGGAGTGCACCTCAACAGGAATTGTTTGTACGCTTGGTCTTGTCGAAAAGAGGATAGCAAACTACGTTAAAGAACCATGGCGTAATGTTCCCGAGATATTTCTCTATGAACATGAGCAAGA